AAAAAAAAAAAAAAAAAGCAACATTCAACAAGGGCATTAACCCACAATCATAATACTTCACTAATCAGTAATCAATAATATATAATCTTAATCGAAATGTCTAAAAAAACTGTAATCAATTATCAGAAGGCTAGTAGTAATATCATTAAAATTTCCACTGTAAATGCACTAACACGAGAGCAGTAGCAAACATATTTTCCCTACCTATCCCTCCACTATACTTATTGACACATCTAAGACTGAAAATATAATTCAAACAAATACTGGAGATTATAGTTTCAATATCCTCTTATGAATATTTTGAAACAGAATGCTTTAAGGTTCTTGTCGGATAAAACCAAGAACAGCATTTTAGTCTTTCTTAAAAATGAAATATGCGCTTTTCTCATGGAAACAAGACAACAATCTCCAGATGAGGCATTAGTAAACACCACAACAAGATATCGAAGAATAGAGCATACACATCAGCTTGCACATAGATTTCAGAACCAATGTTGACCCGTGTCCTTAAACTAGTCACACTGTTCTTCTCCAGATTCTCAATATTTCTCCTTAGGTCAGAGCTAAGAAGGTTTGAGTTAAGAAACCAATGAATAATGAAATTATACACATCTGGTGATGATGCCATATTCAACTATTCTAATAAAACTGCTGAACCCTGATTTGAATCAATAATAAAACAAGAGTTGCTACTTGCTAAGGATACAATATCTTCTGCTGCTCAAAAACCTTGTCCCTGCAAAAGAATACCAGAAGACATCAACATAATTCGATTCGGGACAAATTCATTGAATGCAAGCATTGGAATATACAACAATAGTAGTTGTACAACATTAGATTCGAAAAATAATCGGGGGTTCTATTAGAATACCGTTCGGCAATTGCGCGCACAAGATCGGGTTTCAATCTCTGGTCAACAAATTCCTCAAACTTTCTCACTTTTTCTTGCCGAGCACTGTCCATATCAGCCCTAGATAAGCCAAATGAAAATGGGGGTTTTCAAAAGAAAATAAGAACAAACAAAATATCGAGCTTTGTGCGAAACATTTTAGCTTAATCATTCAAATTACGGCACCGAACTGAACGGGAAAGCGCCGCAAACAAACTTAATCGGAAAAAACAAAAAAAACTAAAACAAAATACATCAAAAATAATGTAAGCACCCTCTACTTATACTTTGAAAATGTCTTATCTTCAGAAAAAATTTCGAACTTTTCGAAAACATTGTAACTTTTTAAAACTTATCTTAGGGTACTTACTTGAAAACTCATTCTTCCTTTCTTGCTTTCTTTCTTTCTTATCTTAACCTAAGTCTTGCACTTAGGTTCTTAGAAAATCAATTCCAGAAACTGACTTTCTTTTCAAGTCAATTTAGACAAAGCAGAGCATACGAGTACTAGTCTTTAATTGAAATGAAATAACTGAAACTTAACATCCAAACAAGTTTCAAAACAATTGAATCGTAACAAGTTGGAAAATGTTTTAGCGGAAGCATTATATCGCTACATATGAAATGACCACCACTGCCCCTCGAGTCCGCCACTAGCTGCTTAACATGAAAAATGATAATTGTCGGGGGTGAGCAAAACAACGAGCTCACCATGTAGTCTACACTATGCAATTATTCGTAATAATAACAGATACCAATAACGAATAAACTGGTATGAACTGTGGGCTTGCCCCACTCGACAACAAAAGACTGTCTCATGTGAACACTTTTACCGTCGAATGCATGGGCTTCCCAACTCGACAACGGGAGATCTAACTGATTACCCACTAACATACATAAATTATATAATATCTTGCAATTATAAAGAATAGAACATAACATAGAAATCCCCTAAACTGAATGATGATCGTGCGTTTGAATGAGGGCTCGACTCCTCTTAATCTACACTATAAATTCATTTGAATGAGGGCTCGACTCCTCTTAATCTACACTATAAATTCATTTTTATTTTATTATTAAAAGCAGCGACAATGAGCCCTTATTTATTTGTCTTGGTGATGGATGAGGACTACACCATGGGTCAACATTGAGCCCTTATTTATTTGCCTTGGTGATGGATGAGGCCACAAGGGACATATAAGGTGATATCACTTGGTGTATAATCTTTGTTGATGATATGGTGCTAGTTGACGAGAGTAGGACAGGCTAAATAGGAAGTTAGAGTTGTGGAATGACACGTTAGAGGCTTCAGACTTAGTAGGACGAAGACCGAGTACATGACCTGCGCTTTCAGCATGGCTACACATGATGATGGTGACGTTAGCCTTGACGGGAAAGTGATGGCCAAGAAAGAGACTTTCCGGTATTTAGGATCGATGCTACAAAAGGATGGCGGCATTGATGAAGATGTTAGGCATAGAATTGCAGCCGGTTGGTTGAAATGGCGTCAAGCTTCGGGCGTTTTATGTGATAAGAGGGTGCCACAAAGGCTAAAAGGTAAGTTCTATAGGACGACGATTCGCCCGGCGATGCATACGGTGCTGAATGTTGGCCTACAAAAAGGCAACATGTCGAACAACTAAGTGTTGCGTTGGTTTTGCGGACACACAAGAAGGGATAGAATCCTAAAAGATATTCGAGATAGGGTCGGGTGGCTCCAATTGAAGAGAAATTGGTTCAACCTCGGCTGAGGTGGTTCGGACATGTCCAACGGAGGCCTCCTGATGCACCGGTGCGTAGGAGAGTTCTACAACGGGTCGATGATGTAAAGAGAGGTAGAGGTCAACATAAACTCAATTGGGAAGGTCGGTTAAGAGAGACCTTACAGATTGGAGTATCTCCAAGGATTTAGTGGTGAATAGGAGCGCTTGGAGGCTAGCAATCAACGTGCCAGAACCGTGACTTTGGCTCCATTCTCTTTTGCTCCTATCTCTTCCTTTTGTTTTTTAGCCTTTTTGTGTTTCTCTTACCTTTGGTTCTTTTGGGTTTCATCTCTAGCCTACACCAACTTGTTTGGGACTAAAAG